TTTGGGACATAACCCCATTGTAAGCAGAGGAGCCCCTGTACCTGGAAGTGCCAACAGCCAAGAATCACCAAGACTCTCTTGCAAGAAGAAAGAAGCCGGGCAGACAAGCTTTAGCAGACAGCAAGCCTTGCCTGACACCAGAGATGAGACGGGGTGGTTCTGGCCCGGCACGGATAGGCAAGTGGACTGCTGGAACATAGACTGCACGGCAGCTGCATGCTGCGTAGACACATCCTTGCCTTATGACAAAAAAGCACTGCAGGGCGGCAGAGAGAGGTTCTGGGCAATGTTTAGAGTGGAGTTGGGGTCCTCATGCTAAGTGACAGTGGGTCACATGACCCGTGGAGGTGACACACGGGGTGTCCTTATGCTAGGTGACACTGGGTCACATGATCCCTGGAGGAGAGAGACAGAGCCCTTGCACGGGTGGCTGTCTGGGAGGCAGTGAGCCTCGCCCTGGCTCTGCCACTTGCTCTGTGCACGAGCTTTCCAAGTCACTCTTCTCTTGCAGCCTCCGTTTTCTCGCCTGTGCTATGAGTAGATGGAACTCGACAGCTCGAGATCCATAAGCTCTGAGGCTTGTGGATCCTGGGTTGAAAGTGGTGGCCATCATCTGTCCACACAGAGCCAAAGCATCAGGCAGGCTGCACTGCTGACAGTCTTTGAATGCCTCGTTTCATCTTTCTCAAGGTGTCTGCGGAGCAGAGCACAGAGGACCACCCGGAGAGCAGCAGCGCCTGTGAGTAGTACCAGGGAGGCACATCTCCCCAAAGCCACAGGTTCTTTTTGTTGATTCCAGCCTGCCTCAGAGCCCTCCTGCCCGCACTGTTTTCCTCCGGGTCCTCACGAGGTTTCCAGGGGCCGCTTGCTCTAAATGCAAAGCCCCAGTGCTTAAGAGAAAGTCCTGCCGCGGAGATTTCAGGAGTCTCATCCTCTCACGGCAGCTTTGATCTCCCGCCTAAAAAAGGCCGTGACCTGGATCAGACCAGGGCTTGCCCAACCCATTCCCTATTTGTGCCTTAACTCATTCAAACATACTCAGGTGCTGTGCTGGGCGCCATGGCCAGACCTAGGAACAAGACACCATCCTTAAGGAACTGGCAGTCCAGGGCCAGCTGTGGGCCCATGTACAGCTCCATCACACTGAACACCCTTGCCAGTAGCAGGCGAGGAGCTCATTTCCTCCCCCAGCCCCGGAGCCCAGGCCTCATCTGTCTGCTCCAAGGATGACTTTCTACCCCAGGCCAGTCACCCCCTTGGCTTGCACACCTCCACTAATGTGACGACAGGTCACTGGGAGCAGGTGACTGTGCTCAGAGAAGACTGTGGGGGTGAAAACGGTTGGAAATGTTAGCCATGGTCCTTAATTACAAATGATTTCAGGACAGGAACCCTGCTGGACCCCCTTATGTAACAGACACCGGGAGGTCCTTCCCTGAGCCCACAGCAGTGCTGAGGGCAGCAGTGCAGGCGCTGGGATGGAGGCCCTGCGCGGGAGGGCCATGGTTTCTGGAAATGCAGGCAGCGGGCTCCAGGGGAGGTCAGAGCTGGCGTTTAAGATGGCTTCAAGGGATTTGAGTCACAGCACCAAAAAACAAAGATGGCTTGAAGGGGCTGAGCCCAGAGTGGCTCATACCTGTAACCCCGGCACTTTGGGAAGCCGAGGTGGGCAGATCATCTGAGGTCAGGTGTTCGAGAGCAGCCTGGCCAACATAGTGAAACCCCATCTCTACTAAAAAAATACAAAAAATGCAAAAAATAAAATTAGCCAGGAGTGGTGGTGCGCACCTGCAGTCCCAGCTACGCAGGAGGCTGAGGCAGGAGAATTGCTTGAACCCAGGAGGTGGAGGTTGCAGTGAGCTAAAATTGCGCCTCTGCACTCCAGCCTGGGCAACAGAGGGAGACTCCGTCTCAAAAAAATACATATATATAAATATAAATATAAGATGGCTTGAAGAACGTATAGGGGTTTGCTGAGGAGACGGGAAGGAAGGAGGCTTCTGGGACACTGTGGCAGGTGGGCTTGGTAGAGGGAATGTGGGAGAGAGGATTGAAGTGTGGGGAGGACCTTGAATGCCAAGTGGAAACAGCTGGGCATTGCTTCCCAGTAGAATGCTGTGGTGGCTCTGGGCAATATTAGAAGCCACTGCAGAGGGGGAGGCGGTGAGGAGGCCCACGCAGCTCTGCCCCTGCACTATTGCCAAGGACTTTATGGTTTCCATCAGCCCAAGGAATTTAGGGTTCAATCCCACCATGAACTGATTAGCTATTATTTCATTTATTTATTTTCTTTCTTTTTTTTTCCCCTCAAAAGGAAAGTAATTAGCTGTTATTTCTTCTGACCTTTACACATGCACGCTCCAGGACACCCTCACATTTCTGTTACCACCACTCACCAGTGGCACTTCATTCATTCATTCAGTATACTTCATTCATTCATTTGTTGGTTTGTTTATTGATTTATTGAGATGGAGTTTTGCTCTTGTTGCCCAGGCTGGAGTGCAACAGCAAGATCTCAGCTCATTGCAACCTCTACCTCCCAGGTTCAAGTGATTCCCCTGCCTCAGCCTCCCAACTAGGTGGGACTACAGGTGCACCCCACCATGCCTGGCTAATTTTTGTGTTTTTTGTAGAGACAGGGTTTCACCATGTTGGCCAGGCTGGTCTCAAACTCCTGACCTCAAGTGATCCACCCGCCTCAGCCTCTCAAAGTACTGGGATTACAGGCATGAGCCATCACGCCTGGCCTATTTATTTATTTTGAGACAGAGTCAAGCTCTGTTGCACAGGCTGGAGTGCAGTGGCACAATCTCGGCTCACTGCAACCTTGGCCTCCTGGGTTCAAGTGATTCTGCTGCCTTAAGCCTCCCCAGTAGCTGGGACTACAGATGTGTGCCACTACACCTGGCTAATTTTGTATTTTTTATAGAGATGTGGTTTCACCATGTTAGCCAGGCTGGTCGAGAACTCCTGGTCTCAGATGATCCGCCCGCCTCTGCCTCTGAAAGTGCTGGGATTACAGGCGTGAGCCACTTCGCCAGGCTTCTCATTCAGTATACTTTAATAAGGGCCTCCCTGAGTGCCACCCTGGGCATAGAAGTGCCCGGGGCTCTGCTGGCTCCTCCTGGCTCTGCTGGTGCAGAAATGAGGAAGCAAGATCAGTGCTGTGCTCCCACCAGGAAGGAAGCCCCAGGTCCCAGCAGGCCTGCCCCAGGGTCCGGGCTGGCAGCATCTGCCCTGTACCCACTGTGCTTCTCACTGTCCACAGCATAGCACCCAGCTCTCATGGCAGCCGGGGACCCTGCAGGCCAGTCTCAGCCCCCCAGCGTGCAGCTCTCAGGCACCAGTGCCTTATTCTGTGGCTGCAACAATGTCCTGTCCTTCAGTCTTCCAGCATCACCCTTGCCCCCCAGGCAGGGTCCTTCCAGCAGTTTTTCAGGGTGCAGATGCTGATGTCTGCAGCTGCCTCTGGGATGCATCCGAAAATCAGATGAAGAAGTAGATAAGTATGTGGTAAAGTAAATATAGCAAAGTTTAACCTAATTGTTGAAGTCAGGTGGCTGTGCCAGGGGCCCAACTCTTGCCCTGAGTTCCAAGAGAGCCAGACGGGGACCTGGAGGCTGTGCTCAGAGCAGCAGTGGGGTGTGAATGCAGTGGTCAGAAGGACGTTTGAGTCCATCTGGCCCAGTCCCCAAGGCTGGCAGGTAGGGAACCAGGCCGGGAAATGGGGGGCGGCTGGCCCTGATGTCTGGCACATGGCAGAGTAGTAGGTGGTGTTCCCCTTGCCCAGGGTCCCTGGCTGGCCATGGGGAGGGCAGCATCCTACATCTGGCCATGGGCACCTGGCCATGGGCAACTGGCCTACCTCTCCCAGGCCCTGTCAGCTGCACACCTGCACACCCCCTTCTGAGGCAGCGTCTCTAAGAAGCAGCACCCAGCCTGGCCAAGGCTTCACGCCCTGCCCTGGACTCCCAGGACTCCCTCCTGCAAAGGCCTGCACCTGTCGACATAGCCGTGGCAGGTCTGGGGCAGTTAGCACCACCCAGGTGTCCACACAAAGTCCAGAAGGACTGGGAGAGCAGAACGAGCCGGCAGGGCCCAGGCTGGCAGGGTCACTTTCTGGAGCCCAGGTAGCAGGGGCAGGGGCTAAGGTATCCGTCCCTCTCAGCTGGTCTGCCAGGTGGGCTGAGGGAGTGGCGGGATCCTGGACGTGTGGTTCCACAGAATGAGCAGCTCCTGTGAGACCCCAGAGGTCACAGGACTGATGTCGGTACACGGACAACGTGACCTTAATTCCCTTATTTTTATTTTATTTTATTTGGACAGAGTCCTACTTTGTCACCCAGGCTGGAATGCAGTGGCTCATTCTCGGCTCACTGCAACCTCCACTTCCTGGGTTCAAGCCATTCTCCTGCCTCAGTCTCCTGAGTAGCTGGGATTACAGGCACCCACCACCCCAGCTGGCTAATTTTTGTATTTTTAGTAGAGATGGGGTTTCACCATGTTGGCCAGGTTGGTCTCGAACTCCTGACCTCAAGTGATCTGCCCTCCTTGGCTTCCCAAAGTGCTGGGATTACAAGTGTGAGCCACTGGGCCTGGTCGTAATTCCCATATATTAAGGCTGTGGTGCACTGGATTCCATGTCACATGCTGGCCACACATTGTCTTGTACCTCAGAACAAACTCATGAATCAAGTTGCTTGTGGAGAAAAAACAGAGGCTGGCCTTGCCTGACGTTGCCGCGCAGGTGAGCTGCAGAGCCAGGATTCAAGCTCGGGTCCTCCCACCCAGAGCCCGCCCTCCCTCCCACTGAATGCAAGGGCTCAGCATTGTGGCTGCTGGTGGCTGTGTGCTGGGCGAGAGAGCCAGGGTGTCCCAGGGGAACGGTTTTCAGTTTGGGTTTCAGGATGGGCCCACTGGTGGCCATGGTGGTGCCCAGGGGAGACGAGTGAGAAGGCACTTCCTGCCTGTTGACAGCCCTGCCCATTTCTCGCCCACAGAGTCCCAGGCAGCAGTTGCAAGAGGCCAGCCACCATCTCCTACGACCACGCGGAAGAGGGGCTGATGGCGAGCATCGAGCGGGAGTACTGCCCCGCTCGGGAGGACAGCGCGCCCCGGCCCCCGGCCAGGCCTCAGAGGCACCTGCTGGCTGGGTCTCTCCCCGCTGGCCCAGAGCTCTAGCAGGAGCTGAGCCGCCTCCAAAACACAGTCACTCCCAGATACTTCAGAGCTGACCTTTCAAATTCGCTTTCAGACAGTGCGGCCCAGGGCCAGCTACTGGCTGTCACGGTTGCTGGGGGGGCGGTGATCAGCTGTGCAGACCAGGTCAGGAGGCAGGTGGTGCTGACCCACAGGTGCATGGGCTGGGGCGCAGGCGCCTCCTCCCCACCGTGGGGAGCCTGCCAGGTTCTTCTGCAGCCTGAAGTGTGTGCCCCTCTTGGTTGCCCGCTCTCCACTGTGGGGAGGGCTCACAAGGCGTGAGTGAGACAAGCGAGCTTTCCTGGCATCTGTGCCACAGCATTTCTGGAAGGTTCTGCTGTGGAAGGTGCACCTGTGCTGCTCCCTCAAGCCTCAGGCCCATCTCTCCAGGTGAGGCCAAGTCAGCTTAGTGCCTCTTAACTCCCCAAGGAGCAGCCTGGGGATGCTGCTGGGCTGGGCAGCACCTGAGGGTCTGTGAGTGTAACCAGCTCCCAGCCCAGGCCCAAGCTCTGAAGCCCCCCACCACACTTTGAGGAGCGAGGACCCCAGCTCTGATCCTAGCCCTTGACAGACTTGCAGTGGGAGGTAGGGTTCATCACTGCCTCTAGAGGGGCCTCAGTTTCCCTCTCTGGAAAATCAGCTCTGGCAACTCTGGGAGGCCATCCCCAGCTCTGACAATCTGGAACTGTGCCAGTCCAGGCGGCCACGGCGGTCCCCCTGCCCTAGGTACAGCACTGCCTTCCCTGTGGGGAGCCAGCGCTCAGGTCCCATGGCGGGAGGGTCTGCCTGCCACCGGCTTTCCAGTTCTCTCTTTTGCAGGCAGCTTGGCCAGTGCCTTTGGGGCTTTTAAATTCTATTCCCACTTGGGTGGAAGGTGGGAAACCACAGCAATGAGGCAGGAAGAGCCTTGGAATGTTACTAGTTGCAGATGGGAAAACTGACCTGCCCAGGACGCCCTTGGAACAGGGGCGGAGCTCCAGCTGGAGGGAACGCCTGTGTGGGCCAGCAGGGCTGGGGCTTGGGCCCAGGTGCAAGGACAACTTCGAGGGAGAACTGCAGGATGAATAGCAGTCCAGGGAGGCAGGAGGCAGGCGGCAGGCTCCTCCCCAGCAGCCTCTGAGGGCATCGGGACAGAGGGGGAAGGAGGGAACAGCGGCAGCTTCTACTGAAGCCAGTACAAGCCTGGTTATCTGGTTTGACCAGCCAGCACAGTGCCCCCTGCCCCGGGCATCCTTGGTTTCCTGAGAAGAGCTCCAGCCCTCAAGTCCTGAGAACACGGCAGAGCAGGAGCATCTCGGGAACCAACAGCCAGCTCCTTGGCTCTGTCCCCAGACCCACAGGCCTGCTGTGGCCATCAGCAAATGGGCATTTCCTTGACCTTTTATTTGAGAGTGCCTTTGACCAGCTGTTCACAACCAGGAAACTCCAACTTCAAAGTCGGAGCTTGGAGCTTGCAGTGGCCCCCTCAAGGGCGTGGCTCAAACCCTCCCCAGAGCCGGGAGCCATTGCCCATCCAAGCCCAACTGTTTCTTTGGTATAAAGATGGAAGTCATTACTATACTTTAATAATAATGCAAATACGTCTTTTAAAATAAGTTAACATTTTATTTTGTACCACCAAATGGATCAGGCTTTGAATTTAATCATGTAAATGTTTATAGTTTTATGTCATTTTGTTAAAACGGGATGCTTTCAATCGGTTTCCAAGAAAAAGATGATACCTCGGCATTTTCTGGTGGAAAACGTGTAATACTCCCAATGAGATCAAAGCGTTAGGGAAAAAGTAATTCAGAAGTCGTTACAAGCTACGTCAATGTCAAAGTGAATGCACTTCATCAACACTAAGAACTCACAGGAATTGTTCTCGTGTCTTTGAAAAAGTTTTTCCTGAATTTGGGGAAAGTGTCTTCTGAACAGCAGCTAGCCAAATGAAGCAGTGTGTGTACGGCAGCTGCAGGTGAAACAAAAATCAAAAAGAGCAAATAAAATGATGTGTGCCACGGGGCTCTGTCCCGTGAGATGGAGGGGCTGTGCCTGGAAGTGGAGGGTGGTTGTCGCTGTAGCCTGCGGCCCGGCCCGAGCCTGTACCCGTGCCTCCTGTGTGCCAGGCACCACCTCAGGCATCTTCCTGGCTGCCTCAAGTTGCATCTGAGCCTCAGCATCCTGCTCAGCACTGCATGGGGCGTTTGCTCACTGTCCTGCTCAGCACTGCATGGGGCGTTTGCTCACTGTCCTGCTCAGCACTGCATGGGGCGCTTGCTCACTGTCCTGCTCAGCACTGCATGGGGCGTTTGCTCACTGTCCTGCTCAGCACTGCATGGGGCGCTTGCTCACTGTCCTGCTCAGCACTGCATGGGGCGTTTGCTCACTGTCCTGCTCAGCACTGCATGGGGCGTTTGCTCACTGTCCTGCTCAGCACTGCATGGGGCGCTTGCTCACTGTCCTGCTCAGCACTGCATGGGGCGTTTGCTCACTGTCCTGCTCAGCACTGCATGGGGCGTTTGCTCACTGTCCTGCTCAGCACTGCATGGGGCGCTTGCTCACTGTCCTGCTCAGCACTGCATGGGGCGCTTGCTCACTGTCCTGCTCAGCACTGCATGGGGGATTCGCTTACTGCCAGGGTAGGACTGTGGCTGGAATCGAGGCAGAAAGAAAAACGTCTCAAAGGCAAAAATGATGCCTGTTACTGCCTGGGAGAATCTTAAGTGACCACAAAAGTGTCTACTGGTTTCTTTTCTTTTCTTTTCTTTTTTTCACTTTTGAGACGGAGTCTTGCTCTGTCGCCCAGGGTGGAGTGCCACGGTGCTATCTCGGCTCACTGCAACCTCTGCCTCCTGGCTTCAAGCAGTTGAGTAGCTGGGACTACAAGCATTTTTTTTGTACTTTTAGTAGAGACAGGGTTTCACTATATTGGCCAGGCTGATCTCAAACTTCTACCCTTGAGATCCACCCGCCTTGGCCTCCCAAAGTACTGGGATTACAGGCATGAGCCACCATGTCTGGCTGTGTGTCTCCCAGTTTCTGTAGTATGAGAGTTCCTTGGAGATGCTACAAAGCCCCAGGAACTGAGAAAACACTGTCCACGCCCAGCTCTGAGAAATGCTGGGTGTGTTTTCTCGAGGAAGAAGCAGAGCCCCGCTGTTGCCCTCCTCCTGGCACGTGCATTCCCAAGCCTCTCCTCACAGGCTCTTGGGCTTCTGGCCTCACCCAGGCAGGGGCCTCCTTCCCCAGCTGCTGTTGGCTCAGGCTCCCTGCACCTCCCTGAGATGGCCCTTTCTAAGACATTTTCCTTTGCTGTTCCAAAGACCTAGGGCCGCTTGTCCTCATGGAATGCTGCGCCTACTCACACATGGTGCCTGGACACCTGCTGCTGACATTGATTGGTGGACCTGTGAGAGCACTCTCCATTCCCAGGGGTGGGGTGCACGTGTGCAGGTGTGAGCACTTGGGAGAGCGTAAGGCTGTTGAAGAAGTGTAGCCAAGCACCCCACGGAAGAGAGAGTCTGGGGCTTTTTTTCTGTTTCCTTTCTGGCAATAATGAGGCAGGAGAAAAGTATTCCCAGTTGCCATTGAGGAGGATAAATCACATTTGTGGCTGTAGCAGCTAGCTCGCTCTAGGAGGCAGCTCTGTAATCAGACCTGTTGTGTGGTGAGGGTCTGGACCCCCTAGGGACAAATCAGACCTTCAGAGGTGGGCAGGGCCTGTGCTGACTGGGGATACGGCAGCCTTTAGTTTCTTTCTTTTTTTTTCTTTGTTTTTTTTATTTTTTTGCTTTTTGTGCCTTTAGTTTCAATAGTTAGGAAGGAAAAGAAGGAAGGAGACCTAGACCACTCCTTTTTGGAGGTATGGATCTGTGGGAAAGAAAGGTGGCAATTTAAGTCCACAAGAGGTGACATCTGACTAGCACCTTTGTGTGGCTGGGGGCCTTGGGATGTGGCCACATGGGAGACAAAGGGTGGGCCCTGAAATCTGCACCCCCGAGAAATGAGCGTGTGGCTGCCTGTGGTGCTGAGGGGACAAGTATATTCTTCTGTGATCTTGGCCTCCAACAAGGCCATGGGCCTGCAGCCCGTTAACAGTGACAGGATGTGGCAGCAGGAACTCGGCAGCAGCTTGGCCATCACAGCTCTGTTCCTGGAGAGTAGAAGTTAGAAGGTCCCGACTTGGAGACCAGGTACAGTGGCTCACACCTTTAATCCAAGCACTTTGGAGGCTGGGGCAGGAGGATAGCTTGAACCCAGGCGTTTGAGACCAGCCTGGGCAGCATGGTGAAACCCAGTCTCTACAAAAAAGTACAAAAATTAGCCGGGCGTGGTGGCGCATGCCTGTAGTCCCAGCTACTCAGGAGGCTGAGGTGGGAGGATGTCTTGAGCCTGGGAGCTGGAGGTTGCAGTGAGCTATGCTTGTGCCACTGTACTCCAGCCTGGGCAACAGAGCAAGACACTATCTCAAAAAAAGAAAAAGTCCCAACTTGGGCTAACTAACCCCTGGAAGCTTAAAATAATTTGTGGGAAAGGGGAGAAACTGCAGAGGGAGAGACTGAATTTCCTACTAATCTGGCAGGAGAGGATTTAAGTGAAACATAAAATACTATGACTTTATTAGCACAGGTTCCAGAAACATCTTTCTAAAGATTTAGGCAGCAACTACTTGAAGCAGGTACTGCATGCCGGGCTCTGAGGCACACAGAGTCACGATGAGTAAGGAATGAGTGAGGTGTGGAGGAAGCACAGACTGTGTCTCTGGGAAGCTATTGTGCTCATCCGATTTGTGCAGATGAGTCAGCGGTCAGACCCAAGGCCCAGGTTGTTCTCCCCTGCCTGGAGGACATGGAGGGTGGAAGTAGCCAGGCTTCCCTCTGCAGGGAGAGCTCAGGTGGGCTGTGGAGAGCCTAGCAAGAGCCCAGGGTTCGAGGGAGGAGACCCAGATGCCAGGCTTGACTTCACACCACTACCAACCATGTGCCCTCTGGGACCTTAGCTTCCTGCTCTGTTCAAGGGGCAGCACACACCTATTCCTCCCACCTCCCGAGATGACAAATGACCTACTGAGTCCTCTGTGCACTACAAAGCTCATGTGATGGTGGTGGGGACTGCTTCTGTCTTGCAGAAGGAGAATCATGGGTGGGGGGGGCCCTGGCGGCCCCTTGGAGTAGCAGGTGAGCTGGGCTGTGCCTGTAGGGAATGCAGTCCCATATGAAGCTGGCAATAGGGCCTGGCCCAGCAAACCATGGGGCTCAGCTGGACTTGGGGCCAGGTCTATCAAGAGATGCACTCTTTTTTAGGGTATCCCCTGTCCCAAGACTATAAATGAGGGCCTCGCTGTCCAGCCCTGCCCCATACACTACCGGAGCTCCAGGGACTTTTGTGCTCCCTGCATAAGTGTTTCTGAGGTTTCCTCAGAGGTGTCTCTATGGAGTCATGGTCACCTGAGTGTGGCACTTCAGCAACCCAGGGCCTCCCACATGCCTCTGGGCTCTGGAAGCGCAGCTGCCCAACCCAGGGCCCCAGGGCCCCAGGGCCTTTGGGGCACATGCCACTGCCTCTGTGGAGCTGTGGTAGGGGTATCCCACAGAAAAACCGCTCAGGCTCCTTGCGTTCCCACACACACAGCGAGGTGAGCATGAGTCCAGGATCTGCCCCCATAAACCCGGTGGCACAGGCAGAATCAAGGTGATTCTGACACTGTGACAGCACAGGGTGCCCCAGCCCTCTGTCCCACCTCTCTTGTCCTGCCTGTTGCTCTAAATGTTCATTATGTCTTTTTTTTTTTTTTTTTTTGAGACAGAGTCTTGCTCTGTTACTCAGGCTGGAGTGCAGTGGTACAATCTTGGCTCACCGCAACCTCTGCCTTCTGAGTTCAAGTGATTCTCCTGCCTCAGCCTCCTGAGTAGTTAGGATTACAGGTACGCACCATCATACCCAGCTAATTTTTGTATTTTTAGTAGAGACAGGGTTTCACCATGTTGGTCAGGCTGGACTCAAACTCCTGACCTCGTGATCTGCCCACCTAGGCCTCCCAAAGTGCTGAGATTACAGGTGTGAGCCACCATGCCCAGGCTGTTCATCATGTCTTACCCACTCAAGTATGAGCTCTTTGGGAGCAGGAACTGAGATAATTGATCTCTGAGTTTCTGACCCAACACAGCAGGATTCATTAAATGCTTGTTGGATGGATGGATAGATGGATGGATGAATGGGTGGGTAGATGGATGAGTGGGTAGATGGATGGGTGAATGGATGGATGAGTGGGTGGATAAGTGGGTGAGTGGTTGGATGAATAGATGAATGGATGGTTGGATAGTTGGGTGGGTGGATGGGAGGGTGAGTAGTTGGATGGGTAGAAGAATGGGTGGATGGATGACGGGTGGTTGGATGGATGGGTGGGTGGATGGGTGGGTGAGTGGTTGGATGGATAGATGAATTGGTGGGTAGGATGGGTGGCTGGGTGGATAGGTGGGTAGATGAATGGGTAAGTGGATGGATGGGTGAGTGGATGGATGGATAGATGGGTGGATGGGTGGGTAGATGGATAGGCGGATGAGTGGTTGGATACATAGATGAATGGATAGATGGATGGGTGGGTGGATGGATGGATGGGTGGATGGGTGGTTGGATGGATAGATGAATGGATAGATTAATTGGTGGGTAGAAGGATGGGTGGGTGGGTAGATAGGTGGGTAGATGAATCAGTGGGTGGATGGATGGGTGGGTGGATGAATGGATAGTTGGATGGATGGGTAGATGGGTAGATGAGTGGTTGGATGGATAGAAGAATGGGTGGATGGACGATGGGTGGTTGGATGGATAGAATGGGTGGATGGACGATGGGTGGGTGGGTGGGTAGATGGGTAGGTGAGTGGTTGGATGAATAGAAGAATGGGTGGATGGACGATGGGTGGTTGGATGGATAGAATGGGTGGATGGACGATGGGTGGGTGGGTGGGTGGGTAGACGGGTGGGTGGATGAGTGGATGTGATATAATTCCTGTAATAGAACAGCTTGTATTTTAGCAGGTAAACTAGATTTGCAATAAATGAAGTTCAGTAAAATCTGGCATGGTTTTACTAGCAGTCAAAATCTCTGATTTCACAGGAGTCTAGGGGAGGGAGCCAGGGAAATCTCCCCAGAGGTCGCCACATGAGAGCTCAGCAGTGAGAGCTGAGGTGGCGCCATCAGCACTTGGCTTCCAGCGCTCCATCCCGTTGCTACCTGCTTATATACGTGCGTCTTCCCCGGGCACTTGGCTTATACTCTTATTTCTTCTCTCTCATTTCTCTTGTCCAATCTGCTCTCTCTGGAACGTGCTAGGCTTCTTAGGAGGAAAGGCGAGAGGACTTTGAGAGTGAACTTCCCTAACTGGGAGGTGACTGAGTGTGTGTGTCTCACACCTCTGGAGTGGGCCAGGCTCACTCCCAGGATGTGGCCCAACTGTTAGGAAAATGTCTCAAGTTCCTCATTTTAAAAATCCCTAAACAAAAAGGTAGGTTGAAAGTAAAAAGAGTACTGATGTCATGGCCAGAAAGACGTTACGAATCTTGGTGACAACACCCAGAGAACAGCAGCTACACAGTCAGAAAGCTGAGGGTCATAGGCTTGTGGCTGCCACCCCGAGACAAAAGGGTTTGGAATTGGAGGGACTTTTCCAGGTGAAATGATGAATGCAAAGGCCATTAGTATTTACCAGCCCTGCCGTTTCTTCGCATGCGCACGCATACATGCATACATGCACACACATACACCCATGTGAGTGACAAGATCTCTGTAAACTTCTCCATGGCCACCTCCTGGATGGGTGGCTCTAGAAGGCAGTGGGCCCTTTCTGAGAGAGGCACACACAGCTGGAGCCCTCCCATGTGGTGGACACAGGACCACTTGGCCCCAGCACCTGGGAAGCCCCAGCCCCCTCCACTCCCCACAGGCTGTTTGCCCAGGAACTCGGGACCAGAAACCAACAGCTCTGCTCATCCCTGCCACGACATTCCTGGGCAGGGGCTTGGATTCCAGTGCAAAGAATGGCATCCCTTCTGACACGTGTTCAGTGCCCGCCCCAGGCCAGGCAGTTTGAAGGCCCAGGGATGCGGCAGTGGAGACAGGTCTTGTCCTCATGGTGACGATATCCTGGAGCATTTACTGAACATACTTGGATTACAGTAAACTCTTCGACACACCCTCTTCCTTTCACCCCGCTGTGGGGCAAGCATTATTAGCCCAAGTGCACACAGAAGTAACTAGTGGAGCCTGGATTCAGTTACCTATTTTTTTTGTTCCAAGTCCAATAGTCTTTCCAGGATCTCACAGCCAATTCAAAGATTTAGGGTACATTTGAGAAGGTGCTAAAAAGGAGAACAGAGTGTGGACTGAGAAGCAGAAGTGTGGTCATGTGGGGCCTGGAGGCTTGGTGTGCGTTGCTGCTAGTGGGTGACACACAGCACCTGGAGGTGGGTGCTGGGATCACAGCCGACAGAGTTGGCTAGGGCCCCTTGCAGGCCTTTCAGGAATTGCATTCTGCCTGAAGGGAGCTACCTTGCCCAAGGTGACGCCTCCCCTGGGGCAGCCTTCATCTGATGACAAAGGCAGCGCTCCTTGCCCTTGTCTGGGTTTCCTTTGCAGGGCTTCTTGGTGCCAGAGCTCCCGTGGGGCCACCTCCGTGGCACTGGCTTTGCAGTTAGCTTTCTCCCGGTCTCAGTCCTCGTCTCTCGCTTCCTTACAGGTACCAGTCTTGGAAGTCTCGCCCAGTAAATGTGCTGTGGGCAAATCTGTCTCAAGGATCTCTTTCCAGGGAACCTGATCCAAGACACACCGACATCGTCACCACCTGACAAAAGATCTAGTGGGTCCAGCAGGAAGAGTGACCAATGTGCTGTTAGTTCTCGGGGGGGGGGGGGGCAGTGAGGCGAGCACAGCTGCAGCAGGAGGTGCGCTCAGGTGAGGCCGAGGGGGCCCTTGTGACTTTGGCTTTTTTTGGCAAGAGATGGAAAGCCACTGGGGGTTTCAGGCAGAGCGAAATCACCTGACATTTCTCCATAGCGTCAGTGGCTGGTGAGCACAGACTGAAGGGGGTCCAGGCAGAAGTGGGGAGGGGTGGGCTTAATCCAGGAGACACATGATGGTGAATCGGAGGTGACACAATCGTTTATGGCAAGCTTCCTCTCCTTACCCTTGCAGTCTCTAGTCACTTTTTCCGCTTGTAGATTTTGCTCGCCAGCCCCAGAAAGATGGCTGGAGGCAGGGGCACCGCGTTCTCTTCCATGAGATCCACAATGTGGCTGTGGCCATCTTCCTCATATTGCAAGAACACTGCCAGCTCCTCGAGTAGTGCCTTCACCCGGGCCACCTGCTCGGCCTCCTGCCCGCAGTTCTCCTGCAGGATCTGGTTACTGCAGACACTGAACCATCAGCCAACTGCATTTGTGGCCCCGGATGTTAGTGCCAACTTTGCTGGTCACATTGGGATCCCCAGAGAGGTCAAGATGATCATCCTCAATCTGAAAGGACTCTCCCATCTCCAGCAGGATCTTCCTGGCTGCAGCTCCAGAATGGCAGAAGGAGTAGAAAGTGGTCTTGTACTTGACAGTAGATTTGTACCTCTTTTTTTCTGAGATAGTCTCACTCTGTCGCCCAGGCTGGAATGCAGTGTTATGCTCTCAGCTCACTGCAACCTCCGCCTCCCAGATTCAAGTGATTCTCCAGTCTCAGCCTCCTGAGTAGCTGGGACCACAGGAGCATGCCACCACGCCTGGCTAATTTTTTGTTTTTAGTGGAGATGGGGTTTCACCGTGTTAGCCAGGATGGTCTCGATTTCCTGACCTCATGATCCGCCCACCTCAGCCTCCCAAAGTGCTCAGATTACAGGCGTGAGCCACCACGTGCAGCCAGATTTGTACGTCTTTTCAGTGAATCCACCAAGATCCACATCGCCCTGGGGGGCTGTATGAGGTCCAGGTTCTGCCCAATCTCAGTCTGATAGGAACTCTGCAGAAGAGCTCCATCAGGCTCAGGTAACAGGGCTGCTCCTGGCAATAGGCAGTAGATATATGCTTCCGGTAGATATATGCATAGCATCATTGATAGCATCTAAACTGACTCCTGGCTTCTGATATCAGCAGATCTGCCCCTGGCGAGTGAGGGCTGAGTCCATGATGTCATCTGCCACTGGAAGAGAGCTTGTAGCACTCCCACACAGCAGCCCACAGTCGGGCTCGCTGGAGACTATTGGTATCCTGTTTCCTCGGCGCCACCAGCTCCCGGAACACTACTAGCACCGTCCAGCCCTGGTGACGCTTGCCTCCAATGGCACTGGAGGACCTCCTGGAGCCAGGCAATAGTATCTCCTGTCTCTGGGTACCTTATCTCATCCTCAGTTAGCACCCTAGCCATCTGGGAGAAGTGCGGAATGAAATCCTGCTTTTCTTGGGCATAAACATCTATTTCTGGTCTCCATTCATTCTGAGGAGCAGCAAACGGCTCTATTTGTGGACATGTGTTCCTCCTTGGTGATGCTGGATGTTTTAAAAGGAGTCGAGGACCGTGATGGGATGGGGGGTGAGAGAAGAGTTAAGGTCTCGCAAGGATGTATGCACTCTTCTTTTTAAAGACAGTGGGGTCTGGCCAGGCATGATGGCTCATGCCTGTAATCCAAGCACTTTGGGAGGCCAAGACAGGCAAATTACAAGGTAAGGTGTTCAAGACCAGCCTGACCAATATGGTGAAAGCTCGTCTCTACTAAAAATACAAAAATTAGCCAGGCGTGTAATTCCAGCTACTCAGGAGGCTGAGGCCGGAGAATTGCTTGAACCTGGGAGGCGGAGATTGCAGTGGGCCGAGATCACACCACTGCACTCCAGCCTGGGCAACAGAGCGAGCCCCCATCTCAAAAGCAAGCAAACAAAAGACAACAGGGTCAACTGTGAGAATTGTAGGGTCAAGTGAGGAGAAGATGAGGCCCTTGGTCATTTTAAGTGTGCAGTGTTAACTGACCAGTGCCAAGTAGACAGGTGGATACAGGGACGCCAACTCAGGACAGAAGTGCAAAGGAGAGCCCCGTGGGGGCGTTTCTGGTAGAGATGCTGTTTTCATCTAAGTGGTGAGGCTGGGAAACATCGCCGGGGACTGCAGCATGAGAACTTAGGGCAGGCAGATGGGGGGACGGGGCAGGTGGCCTTCAGGGCACCCCCAGCTCCAGCCGATGCCACTGACAGGCCTGAGAATTGAGCCCATGAAAGCCCTGAGCACACCCCAGGAGCACCTTCAGTGGTGTGGATGCAAGGCCCCCTTAGAGGGCTGGAGAGACAATGTGCAGAGCCAGAGTGAAGCCTGCGTTCCAGGATGTGCTTTGCAACCCTGGGCTGGGGAGGAAGGAAGTACACAAGACACTTCCAAGCACTTCTTCCAGAGTGGCTGGAAAACCACTTTGAATTCTACCTCTATGCAGCCACCCCCGGCACAGGAAGGGCGTGAGCACCGAGGGCCACAGGGTTACCCGGCACACAACTGGGTCTGCCAGAGTGGCCACTTCACACTTTGGCTTTTTGAGACAGGGTCTTGCTGTGTCGCCCAGGCTAGGCTGCAGTGGTGTGATCATAGCTCACAGCCGCCTCCAATTCCTGGGCTCAAGGGATCCTCCTGGCTCAACTCACCAAAGTGCTGGGATTACAGGTGTGAGCCACCACACCTGGCTCTCTTCACCCATTTCTTTCAGAAAGAACCCTCTGAGGAACCCGAAGAAACAGAATAAAACCCCAGAAAACAGAGAGGAGAGATGAGTCTGGGCCAATACACAATGAATTTTATAGACTCTTCCAAATAGTCTCTACTTACAGTTATGACACAGGACACACATCCAGTTTAAAATCAAGTTTTATATGATTCAAAGAAAAGTTACATTACACATACCCATTTAAATAATAAGTCAAAGTCTGTTACATAAAACATAATCATGAAACATTTTAAGTCTTACAATTCAAACTACTTAAAAGGCTCAAAGTCACAAAAGATCAAGCAAAACTGCTCAGGCAATAAAGTGCACTAGGGGGGCCTGCCTCTCCGGGAGCCTCCAGCACCCAGAGCCGCTGCCGAGGGGCTCCACACAGAATCCACAAACAAGGGTAACTGTTCTGCTGCTTCGAACAGTTTTCAGACAGGAACTCTTTCCAACTTAAAACCTTTCAACAGACAAATGGAGGGGGAAGGAAGATGGTTTAAAGAAAGCATTTCCAAATGTAATCAGGAATGGAACTGTAAAATTTAAACCATCTTCAACATGTAGCTCTTTCTTAGAAATAGCACTACTTGGAGAATGTTCTGTGATATGCAACCAAATACTCAAAGACCTTATCCACCAGAATACTAGCAGGACTAACGACTCTGCATGTCATAATTAAGAAAAAATCCAAATTTGATGCCATTTGTAGCATAGTGGGAAATGCTGATGCCAGTTTGGATGAGTGGAAGGAAGGACTGGGTGATGAGGACACAGGAACAATGCACGCTGTGGCTCTCCCACAGCTGCACTGCCTCATAACGACAGGACCCACCTACGGGAGTGTACAAACACACGGAAGCCTCCTAAAAACATACACATTTGTGTCAAATAACTGATACTAAGGGGCAAGTTAACGGGTACCAAGTAACACACAGTGAATGACCAGGTGGGGATTTTATCAGACTACAAAGAACAAAACACAAAACCTCATTTTATTCAGTGTTTCACCTTCCATCATTTTAACAAAGATGAATGCCAATAACTTACCAGCAGAGACAAAAGCTACATACATACTGCACAATCAAAACAAATCCCCAGGCTACCAATCAGTGCAGCATTCTGCATGCTTCTACCCTTATTCCACTGCCTGAACTTCCACCGTTTAGCAAGAACCAGTCTCAGTGGCTTCCTGAACGCAGGTGGCCACATTCTCTTATCCAGGATATGCGCTCACACCATTTAAAAGTGTCATCCATCATCTATTTTCTAGGTAGACTGTAAAACATACCATTCCAGGTAATTCTGTTTGATCAAAACAATTTCTTTCAAACAAAAGGGCCAGGCACAGTGGCTCAGGCCTGTAATCCGGCCGAGGCGGGTGGATCATGAGGTTGAGATTGAGACCATGGTGAAACCCCGTCTCTACTAAAAAATACAAAAATTAGCTGGGCATGGTGGCACGCGCCTGTGGTCCCAGCTACTCAGGAGGCTGAGGCAGAGGTTACAGTGAGCCGATATTGCGCCACTGCACTCCAGCCTGGCGCTTGGCAACAGAGCAAGACTCTGTCTCAAAAAAAAAAAAGACAAAAGGGCAGTTGGGTAGTATTACTGCTATTTAGCGTAACTTGCATTTCCTCGAGTTCTAGTATTTGGTAAATAGAGGAAGCAGAACCTTGGCACTGCCTGCCTGCACATGCATCTCACCCTCGGCTAAGCTGTTCTCTGGTGGAAAGTTCATCCCACCAACATGGACACTTCTTCACTGAGAAGTTACTCTACCCACAGTGTAGTAGGGATAAGGCCACAGCAAAACAAGTCAACTGACGAAAAGTGGCTGGATTTGAGTGTTTTATCTTTTTTGGTGTTTTAGGTACAAACAAGAAACTAAATGGTTTGCGTTCAGCAGGGCCATGGCCAAGACGATTCCACACAGACTGCAGCCTGCAGCTGCTCCTGCTCCCTGGGATGTGCCCAGTGGCTCATGGTGCTCTCTGGGGTACATCCTTCACAAGACCCACCATGGACACAGCTCACTAGTTTTAGTCAACCACACTTACAGTTCTTGGGTGACAGGAATGGCTGCCTAGAATTTCCTTGAAAATGTTATGAAGAAGCTGATTGCAAAGTTTATTTTTCCCTTTTAAGAGGCCCTTATTCAACCAGTTCCGATTCCAAAAAGATCTAAAAGGCCAGATAACCTGTGATTTTTTTTGGTGGAGTAACATGTCAAATTTACTAAAACGGGTCATCATAAAAAACTTTGTTATTAAACACTGAAAAGAAGGCTGCAAAATAATCTATCTAGAAACTGGTGATTTGAGCACCAATATAAATATTTTTATAAAAAACAGTATAAAAATTAGTACCCTGTCTTATTTCTACAAAACATCCATAGAAAGGTTGTAAAAATCCAGATTTTGTAAACTTTATTGCCGAAATATTTGTTTGAATGCTGGTGATTTCGATTACCAAATTTTCTACCATTTCTTTAAAAAGAAAAAAAAAAAAAAACTTCTGAAACTACAAAACATATTGAACAGGGTCCCAAGTGGAAAAGTTAACACACCTTCATCAAAACCAGCTCCCCGATCTTCCCAAGCCCTCAAAACCATTTTTTGGGGGTAAGGCAATGGGAGAGCAATCCATCAGTTCCATTCCTGAAAAGAGGCTTTTAAAAACCCCATGAATAACATCCTAGTGGACCTTTCAGGTGCAGGCTGGCATGGTCACAAGCAGGTTCCCTGGGCTCTCTGCACAGGTGATTCTGTTCAGCTTGCCAACCTCTGCCTGCCAGCCTGGGATCTTCTTGGTCGTCATGTGGCGGCGGGCATGCTTCGTCAGGTGGTCACTGCGCATGAAACGCCGGTCACACACCGGGCACACAAACTTCTTCTCTCCTGTGTGAGTTCTGCGGTGGCGAGACAGCTCATCCGAACGAGCAAACTTCTTATCACAGCCGTCCCAGCTGCAGCTGAAAGGCTTCTCCCCTAAGTGTGAGAAAACACATGCTGAAGAAAAGGAGATGCTGAGCACCTTATTCAAGGGGTTAATTCATGTCGTTTTAAAATCGTGTTCATCAAGCTCACAAGAAAACGATGTCTTCTTATTCTGGAACTGTGGGTAACCCCCCATATAGGCACCGAGGAATAAAAGCTAAGCAAAACCCTGGCACAGTTAGGGCTTAAAGAATATTTCACTTTATAGTGTTACTACTCAGCAATTTCCTTTTATATAAGCCTTTATATAATCATATTAGTTTATAGAATGAGAGCTTAAAGAACTCCTTTATATAATCCTCTCTATATAATCATATAACAGTTGATAGTATGAGTGCCTAAAGAATATTTCCCTACATATAATTATATTTTAGTTCATAATCGGAGGAATGCCTAAAGTGGACACAGTACCGAGCATGAATTAAGGAATAAGTAGCTTATAATTGGAGGAATGTCTAGAGTAAACACAGTGCAGAGCATGATTTAAGGGAAAAACAGTTATACCAGGACAAGAATCCATAGCCCAGGCGGCAGCGTTCAGTATTGTAACGATACCCGCTCTATGGCAGGCTTGCGGCGAGAGCCACTCCTCCTGATAAGGAGTTGTAGGACCTTGCTCCAGTTCTCGTGGAAGGCTGCCCTCCGAACGGCAATCCACCTTGGTATGCGCTTTATCAGCTCTTGCTACTATGCTGCTCAAAAAGCATCTTCCTATAAAACTCACTGGAAACTGCCAGAAGGTGGCGGTAACCTTAACAGCTCTGTCACTGCTATGTGACTTAAAATATCCTCCTATAAATCATCTTAAAAGTAGTTTGCCCATAGATAAAAGTATTGCACACTGCACCCTCTTCACTGTGCATGACCCACCTTCAAGCCTCGGTGACCTGATGGGGCTGGACCCCTTACTGCACCCGGCCCTTGCCCCTTCATGGGAACGGGCCCCTTGCTGCGAACTGTCCACCTCCTGGCCTAGGTGACCTAATGGGGGTGGACTCCATGTTCTGTTGCTCGTGACCCTATCACTATCCTTAAAGATGATTTCACTCACTGCCCTGCCCCCTAACCTATACACAATAAATACTCATGCTTCGGGACATTGGGGCCTCGCCTAACTCTGCTTACAGGTGGCATGGCCCCCTAAGCCCAGCTGCGTTTTCCTTGTACTTCTGTGTCCTGTCTCTTTATTTCTCAGATCCTGCGTCTCAGCACAGCATAAGGGACACCCCACGACCGTGTGGGGCCATCAGCCCTACATGGAACTGGATGATCCGGGTCAATCCTCCATAAAGCATTTATTCCTGCCACACTTAAGATGCAGTATGTTGTTAGCACCCAAAGATTTCAAGCTAATCTTTCAAAATATATCTAAAACTAAAAATAAATCAAGCCAAGTACAAGCACAGGGGCTCATGCCTATAATCCCAGCACTCTGGGAGGCTGGGAGGGAGGATCAGTTGAGCCCAGGAGTTCCAGACCAGCCTGGCCAACAAAGTAAGGCCCTGTCTTTACCAAGAATAAAAATTAATTAATTAAAAATGTAGCATCGTGCACCAAAATCTCAGAAACCACCACTAAATAACTTATTCATGTAACCAAATACCACCTGTACCCCAATAACTTGTGGAAAAATAAAGAAAAAAAATGTAGCATCCATTCACTCTAGCTTATTCCAATTTAACGACCTTTCAGGTTGGTAGGAATATATATAAAAAGTGGTCTTAGCCAAGGGAAACTTGCCCAGTTTCTACTTCTCATGAAAACTCCAAGTCTACAAAATGGCACAGAAGGGGATTCTTCAGAACTCTTATGCTCATTTATTTTTTTTAATTTTTTTAAATTTTATTTTAGGTAGAATCTCACTCATCACCAGGCTGGCGTGCAGTGGCGCGATCTTGGCTCACTGCAGCCTCCGCGTCCCAGGTTCAGGTGATTCTCCTGCCTCAGCTGCCTGAGTATCTAGGATTACAGGCACGCACCATCACACCCAGCTAATTTTCGTATTTTTAGTAGCGATGGGGTTTCACCATGTTGGCCAAGCTGGTCTCACACTCCCGACCTCGTGATCTGCCCACCTCAGCCTCCCAAAGTGCTGGGATTACAGGTGTGAGCCACTGCGCCCGGCCAGTTATTTAATTGGAAGTACTTTAGGAAACATGGAAGAAGCTTGTTTTAATCATTGTAAATCATCCCGTCAGTACTTTACCAAGGAAAACTGAAACAGCAAAACCTAATTCAGTCACCTCCCCAAAGTTGGAAGCTGTGCTCCAGTGTGATGTGAAGTTCCCCTGCACAGCCCCAGTGAAATGTGGAGCTCACCAAGTCAACAAGCCCGTTAAGAGAGGCAAGCAGGTCAACTTCATCAGAAGCATTGGTTCCCTGACGCAGCCCCCAAGTCCATCCGCCATGTGAACGACCAACCCTCATTTACTAACTAGTGTCACACCCTTGTATCATCAGGCACCAGGAGTATATCCAGGTGAGATTAATATATAAGTAACTAAAAAGCAAAGGGAGAATGTGGTGAGACCTACAATAAACGACTGGGGCCAAAGAAGAAAGGAAGATAAGGAAACAAGCTAATAACTAATTCTGGGGGGGCCCTTGGAGGCTCTCGGTAAGTAGACATGGACAGAGGGCCGAGGGGGAGAGTGGAAATATAGAACAGAAGGTTGGGAGGCTGTTTCTGCACGGGCAGAGGCAACTACTTCATGGCCAAGTTTGGCCTTATCATGGAAGGAAACATCCACTCGGTAGAATGGGGGAGCAGTAGAGTTCCTCTTACAGTGTCTGAACACCAGATAGCGCTTCATTCTCCACGTGGAGGCCACCATGATCAGAGCAAGAGAACACAAACTCACAGAACGCCTGAGAAATGGTGCCCTCACCTACTGGAGCCATTCTATCCAGCAACACCCAGAACACTGGTGGGCGGCAGGGAAACCACAGGTCCCATGGAGCTATTTAAACTTCAAGTATTTAAAAGTGTAAAATTCAGTTCCTCGGGCACACTAGCCACACTTCAAATGTGAGCAGGCCGTGGCTACCCTAAAGGACAGACAGCAAACATTTCCACCATTGCAGAAAATTCAGTTGGACAGAGCTGGTTAGACAACGGATCATTAGGTCAGAAGAGTCTTGTGGAACTTACTTTAAAGTAAAAACTACTTTCAGAGGTAAGAAAACTATACTCTTTAAAAAAAATTTTAGAATTTTAACTTTAATATAGTTTGGCCAGACCTTCCCACAATGAACGTAAGTAACACTGATAAGATATATTTACTGAACGTGAATGCATGTTCTCTTAAAAATAAATAAAAATAAACCGTCTACTGCAATGTGAACACAAGGGGGCACTGTGAGTCACTCTAAAAGCTCCCGAAAGACACCATCACAGAACTAGACTACCTCTTCTCTCAGCGTGAGCAGCTGGCGCCGTCTGCAAACTCCTGAAGGCTGTGCTCACAACCCCGCCCTTACAGGATTGTGCAGGCTTTTCAGAACCAAAGAAAAAGCCACCCTTCCCCCTCCACCAGGAGTTCTCATGACACCCTCTCACCCAAAGGCAGCTCCAGGTGTGTTTCCTAACCACAGGGTCTGGTGTGCCCAATGCCCTACCTGCCCTGGTGCTTACCTGTGTGAGTGCGAAGATGAGCCTTGAGGTGGGAACTTTTGAAGTAGGTCTTCCGGCAACCTGGGAAGGTGCAAACGTAGTTCCTCCTTCGGGAAAAGTCTACCTGAGGGACACAGCTTTGGCTAGAGGCGATGAACACTGGCGCAGGGGCGAGGGGCAACAACTTGGTATTCCCCGAAGCCAAAACACTGGCCGAACTGGGGGCAGGCGGAGGGAGGGCGCCCTGGGGCAGGACCAGCATCACAGCTCCCTGAGGCACAGGAGGTCCCAGGAATACAGGTTGTGGAGCTGGAGCAGCCTGGGCTAGGATGGGTCTCACAGTCCCCACAGACAACTGGGGAGGCGGCTTCAAAAAAGCTGAGAACATGCCACTCTGTCCAGTCACAGGGATCATTTGGCAAAGGACAGGGGGAGCAGAAGCAGGGACAGAAATCAGAGGGGTGGTTTTCCTGGGCAGGTCATTTTCGTAATTCTTTGGTGAGCAAGTCTGCACTGCACCAGGCCACCCTGCCTGCTGGCCTCCATCAGTGGGGAGCAGGCCACCAGGCTTGTGCAAGCAAGGCTGACAGGACACCGCGTTAGTGCTGAGTAAACAGTCTGTGAGGCGTGCATCCTGCAAAGTTTCAAAGGGTCCCAAAAGTTGCTCTTCTTCTCTGCTGTCAGAAAGCTGGCCATCTGGAGTCTGGGTGGTGGGAAAGCAGGCAGGAGCAGGGCTCTCCCCAGTGTGTCGGATCACGCTGGTCCCCACGGCCCTGCAGAGAGAGCTGGGCACTGGCTCCAAACCCGGCAGGCCCCTCTCCACCGCCCCATTCAGTGCTCTGGCCACCACAGCAGAGGACTGGAGGGCGGCCATGGCTGTGCATGCTTTGGAATCTGTTACTTGGGAAGAAACAGGTGTCCTTGTCGATGGCTCCATGAGATCGGGGCTCTGAGGAGGAGTTATGCACTTAAAAAAAAAAAAAAGTACCACGTGAAAAGGCTGCTTTAAATTTTAAAAGGGATTTAATTGATCACAATGCTCCCAATACCTTTACATAGAATCATCTAGAGACTCAGCTAAGCCTGTTTTCAATGCCCCAGTGGGTTTCAAGGCTGCATGGGGCACTTTACTTTCTCAGCTTTTTCCCAGTGTTCACCCCTCCCAGATCTGCCCAAGGGCCCAATGCCAGGGAACTCTGAGGAGCTCCTGGCCAGCAGGCCCACCGCTTCCACAACCCCTGATGCCCCACAAGGCCCTCCCACCCCTCTCCAAATCTGCTTTCTACACTCTTCTTTCAGATAAGCTTCCAGCCCAGGACAACCACAATTTCCACTTCTGTTAGCAGCCTACAGTTCTCAACTTCTCCAAGCTGATATGCTATTTTTCCAAATGCTTTCACAGATATTAGCAAGTTAAAAAACCAAAAACAAGTGATTTACTGTACCCAACTCACATGAAGGAGTCGGCTGCCTCGGGAAGGCAGAGATGTCACCCAATGAAGGCAATCTGATGTAAAAGCACATGCTTCTCCAGTTGCCACCCACATATCCTGATCCTAGGCTGGGTCACCAGGAGAACCTAAGCTCCACCCCAAGATACCCCCGGAGAAGTAAATTTCACTTTCTCACATGTATCTGTAGGTTTCATTCCACGGAAATTAACCCCCATAGCTAGCAAGGTAAGATCCATCCATAGAAAGGGCACATTTTTCAGAAATGAAGGAAGAGTTTCCACTCCCTCAGACCCACACAAAGAGGGTATGCAACTTATTTGCCAGCATCCCAGGGAATCTTCCCACAAGTTCTTCAACACACTGATTTCAGCAACTCTAGTCATTTCACAAAAATGCTCCTCTTCCACCTCCTCTTACCAGAGTTGATAAAGAATGGAAGTCTTTTGGTAGCTCAGGTGTGGCTGCATCCATATGCACAGTGGTGGTGACATCCCCAGAGTCAGAGACAGGCGTGAGGGGTCTTATCCGTAACAGGTCACCTTTCTGGAATCTTTGACCCCAGGAGCTCATACAAACAAGAGCCTCGACAGCTTCCATGTCTGTCTGCTCCAAGATGCTGCACGCAGACCGTTCGCTGTCATGCCGCTTCCTCTCCAGGATGGACTCACATATGTCCATGATGCCAACCTAGAGGCAACACAACACAACAGCTTCTCAGTGGAGGGAACTACAGAGGTCACCCACGATGGCCATGTGGCTATGCATACCAGAAGCCTGCACTAGGCATGTAATGCACATGCAACACAGCATAGCAACACACGCTCAACTGTAGTAAGAGATGTTACAGGGGAACCACTCGGCTCTTAAGCCAACATTTCAAAGACTGAACTAAGCTGGCAAGCATTGCCATAAAAAATCCTCACTCTTAAAAAAGGCTACTAAGTTCATACTTTTCTTGGGTAAATGATTAATAAAATTAACTCCTGAGGTGCAAGTCAAACAGTGGCTGGGGTGAAGCTGCTGCCCAGGGAGGAGGCACTGACACTGAGGCCATCTTAGTCGGTCTGCCAGGGGCCGAGGCACCCTGACCATGGCTCTCTGAGGTGGCAAAGCCACCAGAGCAATGTCCCTACAGATGCTCTCAGGGACTCTGGGGCCTTCCCCCTAGGCCTCCAGGACTCTAGGCAGGTAGGGACCATGGTGATTCCACCAGTTGCCTGCCCCAGATTCAGAACAGAAGTCATCTGTCACTGTCCCAAGGCTACTGGGGGTGACAGGAAGCAAACCTGACGCTTAAGAGTTTTTTTGTTTTTTGAGACGGAGTCTCGCTCAGTTGCCCAGGCTGGAGTGCAGTGGCATAATCTACCATCACTGCAGTGTCCGCCACCATGTTGGCTAATTTCTGTATTTTTATTAGAGAGGGAGTTTTGCCATGTTGATCAAGCTGGTCTGGAACTTCCAACCTCCATGGTTCAAGCAATTCTCCTGCCTCAGCCTCTTGAGTAGCTGGAATTACAGGCATCTGTCACCACGCCCAGCTAATTTTTGTATTCTTAGTACTGACAGAGGGTTTCACCATGTTGGCCAGGGTGGTCTAAAACTGACCTCAGGTGATTCGCCCACCTCAGCCTCCCAAAGTGCTGGGATTACAGGTGCGAGCCACCTCGCCCAGCCTTTTTTTTTTTTTTTGAGACAGAGTTCTGCTCTTGCAGCCCTGGCTGGAGTGCAATGACAAGGTCTTAGCTCACTGCAACCTTCCCCACCGGTGTTCAAACGATTCTCCTGCCTCAGCCTCCCCACTAGCTGGGTGTACAGGTGACCGCCACCACGCTCTGCTAATTTTTGTATTTTCAGTAGAGACGCAGTTTCCTCATGTTGGTCAAGCTGGTCTCGAACTCCCGACCTCAGGTTATCCGCCCGCCTCAGCCCCCCAAAGTGCTGGGATTACAGGCGTGAGCCACCACCAGGCCGTCACTGTCTCTTTCTAAGCAAGAGGGAAGAGACTGGAATGAGCTAATCTCGATCAAAAGAAAATTTTAAATGTACGAAGATACACGTTTTCTCTCAGACTGCCATGCACCAAAGCACCGAAGCTTTCCGTCTGCCCGGGTTCACCCAGATCAAACAAGACGAGGTCTCTGTCCCGCAGGCCGCGCCACGAAACTCCCTGTGAAGTCACAGAACCCGGCCTCGTGGCCCGCTCACCACATCGGAGGAAAGGGGCTCGCTCGGTACACAGCTGCCCTCACACCACGAGGCCCGCGCTCGGCCCACGTCTACTCGGCTACCTCTCCGACGCACCCGGGTGGCGACGCGTAGGGGCCCCAACGCCTGCATGCTGCGTTCCCGCCTCCGTGCGTTGCCACGCCCCCAGGACCTTGCCGCGCTCCCGCCTCCCGGCCTTGCCCCGCCCCCACCCCGAGCCTTACCCCGCCCCCAGGGCCGTGCCACACTCCCGCCAGCCGCTCTGGCCCCGCCCCCGCGGCCGCGTGCCGCGTTCCCGCCAGCCGCTCCCCCGCCCAAAGGCCGCCCAGCTCACTGGACCGGAGTGACGTCATGGCTGGAAATAGCCGCGGGGCCGCCGGGGAGGAGCCGCCCAGGAAGCGAGAGACAAAGCTACGCGGGGCACACGCCCCCTTCTCGCCCCCGTCGGCTCGGGTGCGCCCCGTGCGGCCACCGCCCCGCCGGCTCCGGAGCCCGCCCAGACCCCCACCAGCGCGGTCGTAGTGAGGCCCTGCACGCCCCACCTCCTATTTTCACAGGGCGCGCGGGCCCCGCACCCTGTCCCTAGCCTCGCCCCTCGCTCGGAGGAGTATTCCCGCCGCGGCGGCCCCACCACTTACTGCGCGCGCGTCGTCCGGGCCCGCGGTGTCCGGCGTGTGCATAGTGCCGGCCGGCCGGGAGCAACAAAGCGGCCGCGGGGCGCAGTAGCGGTCGCACGTGCGCAACGGGCTGCGGCTGCGGCGACCCGGAGCTCCTGCGCTCCGCACGCGCCTCGCCCGCCCGCGCCGCTCTACCCTGGCGCGGCCCTCGCGGCGCGGGTGGGGCGGGGCGGCCGACGAGGGAGCGGTCGGCGGGGCGGGGCGGCGAACCAAAATACACCGCGCCCCCGTCGGGGCGGGGCAGGCCGCCTTCAGCCAATCCGCACCTGGTTCTTGCGCGGCCGGCCAATGAGCGCCGCGGGGGGCCGCGTGATCGGAGCCTGGCCGCGGCGTGATCGGTCAGGGCGGGACGCAGCACGTGTTTTGGTCGGAGCGAGGGGCGGGGCCTGAGGCCCTGGAAAGTAGGGGAAAGGTCGCGGCGGCGCAGAGGGCGCGCGGGGTGGAGGGTGAGGCGCGGCGGCAGCTGGGGAAGTCCCAGGGCCGGGACTGGACTCGCAGCGGGGGGCGGGATGGGGGGGAAATCGCACTTAAAGGACTCTCTTGCAGCCCCACCGGCTGAATCCGTCGGTAGCGGAGACTCACCTATAGGCCTCACCCCAGATTTTGTTTGCTTTTTAATTTCTGTCACTCTACCTTTGGCTCTTAACGAGTGCGTCCTTGACCAAAGAAGTCTGAAAGGTGGCTGGTTCTAGGTGACATTCCTGAATTCGGTCATTTTTGCAGACACCCGGAGCCGGATCTTCACGGCCTGAGTGTCCCTCCTCAAGCGTCTCTGGGCCTCTGCCGCTCTGTTACGGGGTCAGGGGAAGCTGAGACGGGCAATCACTGGAGAGGCGCCTGCTGAAACCCGCCCATTCTTCCCATGCCCAGAGGAAACGCCGCCCCCTCCGGGAAGTCCACGAGCGTACAGGAGAGGTCTGGCCCGGTGTCCAGGGCACCTTTTTTTTTCCTCCCTATATTTCGGTTGTTCCCGTCTCTTGGTGTGGTTTGCCCACGTCTGCAGGGCCAGGTTCGTGGAGAGCAGGAGCCATACTGTTTATTTGTGTCGCTGCAGCCTTCAGCTCAGCGACGGGTCACCCCTCTGTCCACTGCGCCCGCGTTTGCTTAGCCGCGATGCGGGTTGGCGCTCAATGCAAGGGGCAGAGACCGCAATGAGGAGTTGTTCTTGAAAGCTCATATCCAGGGTAGCGGGAGCAGATACTGAATCCCAGCACCCCGGGGCTTTGCTCTGAGCCAGAGAAGCCTGGGCTCTGGGGAACAGGCCGGGCCCCACCACTCACCTGAGCAAGGCTCTGCTCCCCACTTGCTCCTGCGGGGCCCACTCGGGTTGGGGAGAGGGTTTGAGCAGGCTGAGGAAAGGGTGTTTGCTGAAACAGTAAGAGGGTTGAAGTTGAATGAACCGTGATTAAGTGTTCGCATGAGGACCCCAGGGGCTCTGAGAAGGGCACAGGGTGAAACGTCTTAGGTACAGACTGGAATATTCTCTTTTGCCTGGACTCCCGCATTTGCCAACTCGTCTCCCTGCGACCGCTCCAGCTCCCAGAGCCCCTTCCCTCCCAGCAGCCCCAGGGGTCTTTAACCCATTCAGTGGCTCCCGCTGCACTTAGCGGAACTCTCCTGCTTCCCACAGTGGCTTGTAAGCTCCCGCAGCGATCCAGCCCCTCCCTCTCCAGCCCCATCCCTCTCCCCATACCCTCAAGGGACAGGCCGGGCCTCCTCTTGGTCACCTGTCCCACCAGCCCCTCTGCCACCTTCAGGTCTTTGTACTTGCCGTTCCCTAGAATGCTTTTTCTCCCAGATGCCCCCTTTTTTCTTACCCGCAGTCCACCTAGAGAGCACCCTCGGGCTGACCTCCAGTCCCCTTCTCGCACGCCATCTCGTTTTCTTCCTCCACAATACTTGGTGATCTATCCCTTTTCCATGACTTATTTGTTTATGTCTGTGTCACCACCAGAAAGAATCTCCCAAGGCCAGGGAGGCTGTCTATCTCATTTGTCCACGTAGGGGAATGAGCAAATGAAGGTATCTACCATCCTCCCTGCTTGAACATCCTGTGGGCACCTCAAATTGTGTCCTTAAAACTGAACTTAGATTCCACCCAAATCTGGATTTCTCACTTCCCTGTAGGGCACAGCTGTATACCCTGTTCCTTAATCTAGAAACCTGAGCATCACCTTTAACTCCTCCCTTTCCCGGGTTGCTTTCTTTCGCCAATTACGCTGTGCTCCTCTTCTTCCTCAGTTCCTCTCTAGGTCACCCATGCCAGCCCTTGTCCTGGCCATCACCTGCTTGCCTGAATTGTTGCCATTGCCTCCCAGGAGGTCTCCCTCCCTCCAGCCAGACACCCTACAATCTGCCCTCACCTCACTGCCAGAATGATCTTCTGGAAGCAGAGATTGCACTGAACCTGCATTCAAACTGTCAGTTGGAATCCAAACAGTTATGGGACTGACTGCAGGCTCCTTGGCCAGCAGACTTCATAGACTCCATGCCAGGCTCCAGCCAGCACTTCCTGCATCATTTCTGACCAGTTCCCCAAATTGCTTTCCCTTCTGCCTTCCTGCCCCCATGACCCAATATAGAACCCAGTGCTCCCAAGGTCATGTCACGCCACTCCTTTCTGTTTCTAGACAGCATTCCTTCTGCGTGGAACATGCCAATCCTTGTCTGCTTTGACTGTAAGACTGCATGAGATGGCCAGGCATGGTGGCTCATGCCTGTAATCCCAGCACTTTGGGAGGCTGAGGCAGACGGATCAGCTGAGGTCAGGAGTTCAAGACCAGCCTGGCCAAGATGGTGAAACCCTGTCTCTACTAAAAATATAAAAACTTAGCCCAGCGTGGTGGCGGGCACCTATAATCCCAGCTATTCTGGAAGCTGAGGCAGGAGAATCATTTGAACCCGGGAGGCAGAGGTTGCAGTGAGCCACGGTTGTGCCATTGCACTCCAGCCTGGGCGAAAAGAGTGAAACTCTGTCTTTAAAAAAAAAAAAAAAATTGCATGTGACTCCGGGGCAAAGCCCTCCCTGATGCCCCCAAACACGCTCAGTGGAAGGCAGCGTGTCTGGGCTTTGGAGTCAGACCTGGATCCAGATCCTTGCTCTGCTGGTGTGACCTTGCCAAGTCCTCCTTGCTGTGGGACAGAAGGCGGCAGCAGCTCTCCCTGACCTGGCGCTCTGGCTTCTCTTGCCCCCAGCTCTGTTTCTGCTCTCTGGACAGCAGGCACACATGAGAACTGTGCCCTCTTCAGACATGAGCCCCTGTTCTGCCCACATCTAGCCCATCTTCCAGATGGAGAGACAGGCGTAGTCACTGTCAAACCCCTGATTCTGGCCCTGCCTGTAATCAGAGGGATGAAAATTTGTAAGCTCAGACTGTTAGGGTTCATTTATTTGGAGACTTCACTGAGACCACTGGCACCAGGCTCTGTAGACCATTGGGAAGAGCAAGGTCTGTCAGGCAGACTGGTTGGGGTCACAGATAACATCCCCTGTGGGGAGAGTGTGAGCCTGCAGGCCACAATGCCACTGCTTTCTCCTGTGTCCTTCAGAGAGAGCCTATGGCTGTGCACACATGCTGCCTGACTTCTCAGTGTCTTCTGCAGTTGTTACATAACGATCAACCTAATTCTTTGTAATGGTTAAGTAATATTGAATATGTTATCAATTTAACACTCTAGTTGAAGAACCGAGACGTTTAGGTTGTTCTCAGTTTTCTGGGAACATTGTGCCCCTCCATCATTTACCCACGTGGAAGGATAACTGCAGGATGAGCAGCTCCTGGAACTGGAATTTCTCAGTTAACTGCTCTGTGCATTTCCTTGCTTTTTCTTTCTTTCTTCTTCTTCTCTTTTTTTTTTTTTTTTTTCTTGAGACAGTCTTGATCTGTCACCCAGGTTGGAGTCTGGAGTGCAGTGGCATGATCTCGGCTCATTGCAGCCTCTGCCTCCTGTGTCCAAGTAGTTCTCCTGCCTCAGCCTCCTGAGTAGCTGGGACTACAGGTGGACACCACCATGCCCAGCTAATTTTTTGCATTTTTAGTAGACACAGGGTTTCACCATGTTAGCCAGATGGTCTTGATCTCCTGACCTCATGATCTGCCCACCTTGGCCTCCCACAGTGCTGGGATTACAGGGGTGAGCCACTGTTCCCGGCCTTTTTTTGGTAAATTTTTAATGAAGTATAGCATAGTATAGATATAGGAAAGTGCAAAAGCTTACATGTACAATTCAACAAATTTTTGCTAGGCAAACACACTGTCTCACCAGCACCCAGATTGAGAAACAGAATATCAGCAGCATCCACAAAGCCCCCGAGGCTGCCTTCCAGTCACTACTTACCCTAATCCCCTGCACAGGAAAATCCTCATTGTGGCTTCTAACACCGTTGGTTGGCTTTGCATGTATTGACGCTTTTTTTGTGTGTGTGACACTATTATAATACAAAGAAAATCCTACAGTGTGTTCAATCTGGGGTCTGCCTTCTTTCACTCAATGTGGTGTTATGGGCAGTTGGACTTTGTTTATTCTCATTTTTCTGTTCTCTTTCTCTTGGGTTGAGTTTAGGGACCTGCAAGCAGTACAAGGACCGGAACATGCTGTGAGCTGACCAGCCACTGGGCTGGCTGTTTAGTTGGCAAATGACCTAATCAATGGTTGACTAAATGAATGGATGAATGAATCGCAGATCCACAAATCCACCGAGCTGTTCAATCCTGAATGGAAGTGAGTGTCCATTTCTCCAGACACCCCAGGGCCCTGTCTCCCTCCCCTGGGGGCACTGACTATGGGGAGCAGAGAGGTCTGTAGGGGTAGCCAAAGCACAGGCCGTCCAGGTCAATCTGCTTATTTGACAGATGGGGAACTCAGGCCTAGCAACTTCACACAAAGCCGCTTTGCTCAGGGGAGAAAGCCTCACAATGCTGCGTCTGATGTGGTTGAGGTACGAAGGAGGGCCAGGTCAGATGTTTAGTAAATACCAAAAGTAGGCCAAGCATCGTGCTTGGTGCCAGCTCTTCAGGCCTTTTGATCCCCTGATTTCAGCCCCATTTATAGATGAAGACACTGAGGGACGGAGAGGTGAAGCCAGCTGCCCATCACTGCTGGCAGTTAGCCAAGGGACCAGGGTTCATCCCTCCAATGCAGGTCCAGTACTGCTTTCTCCCTGCTGCCTGCTCCGGGAAGAGCAGCTGCTAAGACCACCTGCGGAGTCCTCCTAAGCCAGCCAGAGTGGGGGGCTGCAGGCAGCTCCCACCAGACACAAAAGGTGGTGCTCAGTCCCATCCCTCCCGAGAGGGTGAGGAAGCTCTTTGTTCCTGCTGTGGCTTCCAAGCCCCCTTCCCCACCACACCTGACACACCCCCTGCTGCCGCCTCTGGCTGCCTCCGCTGCTGCACTCACCCTTCTCTCTGCCTCCAGGCTACAGCCTCACAGTGTGCTACATCTCCAGACCTCCCAAGAGGGAGAACTAGGTTGTGCCGATGGCCTAGGGTTTTAGGCTTAGAGTAGAGGGACCACGTGGCCCAACCTGCAACTTTCGCCAAAGGAAAGCCCAGAATGCGGCTATGTGTGTAGTAGGCTCTGAAAGCTTCTTTGAGGGCATGGACACTTGGCAGGGCCTTGCAGAGGCTGGGCCAGTACAGTCTATGGCGGCAAAGGGGAGCCCTCATAGCTCAGGGCTATGAGACCATGGAGGAACCAGAAGCACCCTTGGCCCTTCCGGCCCCTACCGTTTGGCAGGAAACTGACTCACAAACAATGGTACATCCTATATACTGAGAGCTGTGTGGGCACAGGCATGGGGGAGCAGAGGGGACCCGACTACTCATGTCTGAGGAACTGGTGGGAGGGCTGGTCTGGGACAGTGTTCAAAGAACACATCATTTGAGCTGGGTGTTAAGGACAGATAGGAGGTAGCCACCCAGGAAACAGGTGACCTTTGGGTACTAGTGACATGCCTCCTCCATGTCTGCATTCTTTAGCTCTTAGCACAAGGCCCTCCTATGCAGGGGGTGCCAGGGAGTTGAAATAAGCCTGGGAGGAAACCCAGGTCATTGTCCAGGCCAGTGGTTCTGCAGCGTGAGCCCAGACGGCGTGTTAAAACGCGGATTGCCGGGCCTACCCCACTTCTGACTGAGCCGGTCTCATCAGGGTCTGTGAATCTGCATGTCTTTTTTTTTTTTTGAGACTGAGTCTCACTCTGTCACCCAAGCTGGAGTGCAACGGCACGATCTCAGCTCACTGCAACCTCCACCTCCCAGACTCAAGTGATTTTCCTGCCTCAGCCTCCCAAGTAGCTGGGATTACAGACACCCACCACCATGCCTGGCTAATTTTTGTATTTTGAGTGGAGACAGGATTTCCCCATGTTGGCCAGGCTGGTCTCGAACTCCTGACCTCATGAGCCACCTGCCTCGTCTTCCCAAAGTGCTGCGATTACAGGCATGAGCCACCGCACCCGGCCAAATCTGCATGTCTAATTAGTATCCAGATGTTGCTGACGCCATTGGTCCAGGAATCTCAGCTCTGAGAACTACTGATTTAATCCAGTCCCTGCGTCTACAGAAAGGGAAATGGAGACACAGCGACCACAAGCAGCCTGTCTCTGATACTCAGAGTGTGAGCAGAGGAATGACTGGACACCCTGCCTCCAGACTCACGCTGAGTCCCGCCCCGAACCACACTGCAATGCCACCCTGCCACCTCTTGGACTGAGTGCCCCAGGAGCGGCCCCAGAGGAAAGCCTCAGGAGGCCCACGTGTCGCTGGACAACAGCACAAACCACCGACTGGCCTGGGAGGGCAGCCTTCCAAGGGTCCTCATGGCTATGCAGCTTGTGTGCTCAGCCAACTGCTTGTACCTGGTATGTTGCCAGCCCGGCTTCCCCAGTGACCCAGCGTGGCACTGGCTCCAGCTCAAATGGGGCAGCAGGAACGGCCAGGGCAGGAGCTCAAGGCATTGGCAGAGTGACCAGTGGAGAAACGTCTCACAGGGTGACTTGGTGCGGATCCCTGCAGGGTCTGAGCAGGAATCTGTTGGGAAGCTGCTGTCATTCCCACCTCCTGGCCACTCACCAGCCAGCGGCACTTACCCAGGTCTCAGCTCAGGTGGAAAGGAATTTGCAGGAGTGGTGCTGTGTGCTACTCAGCATTGGGGGCGGGGAGGCCCAAGCCAGCCAGCTCCTGACTCAGCACAAAAACAAATTTTAACCACTTGAAGGAAATGCCCTGTCTGATGCAGGCCAGCCTCTGGCTCAGAGCTGAGCACAATGGAACCAGGAGTCACCAGCCTCCCCCAGGCAGGCCAGGCCCTCTGCCAGGGGCTTTCCTGGCACCAGGGCACTCCTCATCACTGGCCCCTCCTGCTGGCCTGTTCCGTAACCACAGTAGTACCCCATTGGCCCAGGAGCCACTGCCACCCAGGCTGTGGTCAGTGCACCTCCCAGGCATCCTCATGTGGCCATGTCTTCTAATGCTTGGTCAGTTTACACCTGTCTCCGCCCTAAACTGGGGGCTCCAACTCCAGAGGCCGTGGAAACCTCTGCTGAGTAGGCCCGGGGCAGGCTGAAGCTGCTCCTCATGGAGAAACTGGCAAGGCGCTTAATCAGGGTGGCCTTAGAAAGAGGCCTCATGCCCACGTTGGTCTGCAGCCCCTCCCTGCACACCTTCCTGGTTCAGTGTCACTCACAGATCCATGCTGGGTCCCCTCGGGTCACTCTGGGCCACTTTGGATGGCATGGGGAACGGAGGGGCACAGTGTCCCTGTCTGCAATCATCTGGTGCCTGCAGTTTGGAAGGAATTGTCATTCCTTTTGCTAGCCCTACCAGTTTACCACTGCTGTGTGGGAACTTGAAAAAGTGGGTAAAATTAGCTTGGCATGGTGGTGTGTGCCTGTAATCCCAGCTACTCGGGAGGCTCAGGTGGGAGGATTCCTGGAGCCCGGGAGGTGGAGGCTGCAGTGAGCTGAGATTATGCCACTGCACTACAGCCTGGACAACAGAGCGAGACTCCATCTCAAAAAAGAAAAAAAAAAGACGAAAATGGGAGCCCTCACTCCACTACAAGAAGGACCCCGCTTTCTGCTCAGTGGTGTTGGGCCTCAGCAGGAGGGGCGAGACCCTGGGCTGAGCTCGCTGAGCTCCCTGACTGTAGGCTCAACGCCCTGAGGCAGTTATGGATAACCACCTGGGGTTTTGCTGTGTTGCTCTTTTATGCCCATTCACGTGTGGGCTGCTCTTCGTAAGCAAGTTCCTGCTGAAGCTAGCTATGCTGCCAGTCACTGCGCTAGACACTGGGAGAGATGGGTGTGACACAGTTTCTGTGTGACCTTGGGCTGGTAGCTTAACCTCTCTGAGCCTGTTTTCTCATCTGTGAAATGGGGATGGAAACTATAACCATAGGATGTCACGGGAATTCAATGCGATCATGCTCATAAAAATACTTGGCAAAGATGCCTGCCAATCACTACTCAATAAGTGACTTTTTAAAAACTGTCCCATGGTAAGGAAGCTCACAAGGAAAGTAATGATTTTGGTATAGCTCCTGAAGGCACAGGGATGGAGATCCCCCTTAGCACTCTCCCTGGGGAGGAGCTCACCTGGCCACTCAGCTTCCAGGGAGGGGACGGAGATAATGAAAATGCATTGTAAATAAGCAAATGGAAGAGAAGGTACAGTTCTGTACAGAAGAACTGCAAATAATATATGGAGAGAACGCCCCTCCAGGAAATGGAGCTTAATTTCTCTCCCCTTGAGTGTGGGCTGGACTTAGTGACACATTTCTAGCAAACGAAGTATGGAAAGGGGAAGAGCAGCTCTGCAGGGAAGAAACCTTGAGTCATCATTTCAATCAGACAGCAAAGGTTAACATCCCAGTGATAAACCGTGTTCACGTTTCATACTCCTGATATGACACGAGGAGATGCGTTCTTCATTGCCATATTATTCTTTCCAAAAATGCAGAGCTCCAGTCTAATCAGGAAAAAACATCCGACAAACTGAAACTGAGGAGCACCCACAAAACGCCTCATCGGTGCTTTTCAAAAGGGTCCAGGTCATGAAAGCCAAGGAAGAGCTGAGACACCATCTCACATCGGAGGAGGCCCGCTGACTGAATGCACCCCAGTGGTCCTGGGTGGAAATAGTAAAAGTGCATTAGTGGAAAGCTGGTGAAATCCAAAGAAAGTCTGCAGTTGGTGACAGTTTTGACTCAGTGTTAATTTCATAGTTTTGACAAATGTACCATGGCTATGGAAGACATTAACATTAGGGGGACCTGGGTGGAGGGTACATGGGACTGTGTACTATTTTTACAACTTTTCTTTCTTTGAGACGGAGTTTCACTCTTGTTGCCCCGGTTGTGTGCAATGGTGTGATCTTGGCTCACCGAAACCTCTGCCTCCCTGGTTCAAGTGATTCTTCTGCCTCAGCCTCCTGAGTAGCTGGGATTACAGGTGTATGCCATCAACCCAGCTAATTTTATATTTTTACTAGAGATAAGGTTTCACCATATTGGTCAGGCTGGTCTCGAACTCCTAACCTCAGGTGAGCCGCCCGCCTGGGCCTCCCCATGTGCTGGGATTACAGGCGTGAGCCACTGTGCCCACCTGTTTGTTTTTTGAGGAGTCTCACTGTGTCTCTCAGGCTGGAGCCACATGCATGGTCCCCCGCCATCTCCAGGCCTGCCCCTCAGCCCCACCTGGCATGTATGTATTGCTCCTTTATCCTCTCTCTCCCACGCCTCCACATCTCTCTCTCTTTCTCTCTCTCTCTCTCTCTCACACACACACACACACACACACACACACACAGAAAACTTCCATGAGATTGCAGTGGCACAATCTCAGTTGACTGCAACCTCCGCCTCCTGGGTTCAAGTGATTCTCCTGCCTCAGTCTCCCAAGTAGCTGGGATTACAGGTACTCACCACCAAGCCCAGCTAATTTTTTGTATTTTTAGTAGAGACAGGATTTCACTATGTTGACCAGGCTGGTCTCAAACTCCTGACCTCATGTGATCCACCCACCTCAGCCTCCCAAAGTGCTGGGATTACGGGTGTGAGCCAACGTGCCCAGCCTATTTTTGCAAGCTTTCAGTAAATCTAAAATTATTCTAAAATAATTTAATTAATGCACTATAAGAGATGAATCAGAGGAAGTTTTCTGTGTGTGTGTGTGGCGGGGGAGGGAGAGAGAAGTGGAGGGGTGGGAGAGAGAGGATAAAGGAGCAATACATACATGCCAGGTGGGGCTGAGGGGTAGGCCTGGAGATTGGGGGGAGCCATGCGTGTGGCTGGATCCACATGTGTGAGTGGGTGAAGGGGATGGCAGGGGCCGGCGCAGGCTTTCGAAGTTGTACCAGGAGCTTGGCTTTCCAGGCAAGGGAAGGGTTGTGCCGGCCAGAGCAGAGCCCCAGCTCTCGGACATGGCCACTGGGTTGCCCAGAGAGTAGCTTTCTCTACCCATGGGACTGTCCTTGGCTCTTCCCAAGACCCCAGCCTGCTGAGGCCTCCTGTTCTTTCAGATGACAGTGAAATCGCTTCCACCACTTGTGTTCAGCCCATGTCCAGAGGGAAATCCACATCCTTTCCAGTGTCACCAGGAGTCCCCAAGGGTGTGGCTCTGGCTGTCCCCTCTGCTCTGCTGATTCTCCTGATGGCTGGGTCTCACCTCACGTGCACCAAGTCGCCTTGGAGGTGGCCGAGTCCCTTCATGGTTGAGTGTGTGGACAACTGGTTTGCAGGTCAGGATAGAGGAGGGGATAGAGCTGGGGACCTAATATGAGCATCGCTGTTCGCAAGGCCTGGGTCCTCTGTCCTCCAGGGCCTAGCTCGTCCTGTGTGCTGTGTCCCGGCCCTCCTCCCTCCTCCCAGCTTCCTCACTCCCACTGTCTCCCTCACAGCCCATCATGGTCAGACCCTGGGGGCTCTCCTCCCACACCTACAGGGACCAACAGGGCCGAAGCCCAAAGGAGCCCTCTCCTTGAAGACTGATCCTGCAGCCAGCCTTGAACTAGCTGACTGCCTGTCCCTCTGCTAACAGCGAAGCGGCGGGTGGATTAGGATCGCAGTGGATGCGGTGGATCACCCCGAGAAGGGTGCTTGAGCCTGACTGGGCAGAAATCCTGCAGGGGCCTTGAAGACTCCTGTCCAGGATGGGCCGGCTGCTGAGGCCTCAAGGCCACTCCTGAGACTCTGGGGTCTTGTGGAGGCATTTGGTCTCCGCAGGCTTGAGCAGTTCCTGTCCGGACATGTGGTGCCACCCAACTGGAGCACGTCACTTGGCAGCCCATTCTAGTGCAGAGCAACGGCCCCCATGCCCAGGAAGCCCCTCCTAACTTCTGGCCAAAGCTGCCTTTATCATCTGCCCAAGCCATGCCCCAGAAGTCCTCTAGCTGGGCTCCGCCCGGATGGCCATCTCCCTTTCAGCTCATAAATCTGCTCAATAAGCGCGTGGAGCCTCCAGGGAGTCACACTGAAGCTCATGCCCCCACATCAAGGGTCTGTGAGATGGTAGCCCCAGAGGCTGGCCCAGGGCCCAGAGAGGGCTCTAAGCCCCCCTTCCTCAGGAAGTACCCCTCACCATATCCTGCCCACAGGCAGCGCAGCACCGGCCCTGATGGGCTGTGGCATGGGGAAGGGGCAGTGGAAACGCAGCTCCTCTGTGCAGTCTCCCTTCCAGGGCGCCCCACAGCCCCACTTCCTGCTGTGTGCTGCAAGCTGGCCACCTGGTTTGCTCTGGGAGCTCCTTTACCTTGGCGATATCCGGCTCCCCCTCCTCCCTTTCCCTCCCCCTTCTTCTTTCCATCCTACCTGCCCACCTCTTTAATCCTGTGAAGAAACCATGAGTCCTCTCTTTTATTCTGCCCGTAGCCTGCTGTTTCAAAACACCATAAACGGTGCTTCTCAGCGAGGAACACTCATTTCCCACAGTTCTGGAGGCTGGAAATCCAAGCTCAGGTGCTGGCATAGTGGGGTTCCGGCAGGGGCAGTCTTCCAGGTTGCAGATGGCTGCCTTCTCACTGTGTCCTCAGGTGGCAGAGCGGGAGGCACCGACCCTCTGGCCTCTTGTCAGGGCACTGATCCCTCATGAGGGCTCCACCCCCCAATCTAATTACCTCCCAAAGGCCCTGCCTCCTAGCAGATGAGGGTTTCAAGTATGAGTCTAAGGGGACGTGGCCACTCAGCCCATCGCATCTTCCTCCCTCCTGAGGCAGGCGATCAGAGCTGGGCTATCTTGGCTGTGCAGAGCACACATGCGCACACGCACGCTCTCTGCTTGGGTCTGTAATGTTTTCTGAGTGTATTCCATGGCAAGCGTATTCCACTGCACTTGGCTTTTTGCATCCTGGGAGTCCCCACCCAGCCTGCACCTGCAGCCCTGGCTCATTGGTTTTATGAGCTCTCCAGAAACTACCTCACAGTGTGAAGCCTCAGTTTCCCCAACTGTAAAATGGGAGTCGTAATTACAAGGTTTGAAGAAATGGGAAAAAAAGATAAAATGGGTCTGGGCACAGTGACTCACGCCTGTAATCCCAGCACTTTGGGAGGCTGAGGCGGGTGGATCACAAGGTCAAGAGATTGAGACCATCCTGGTCAACATGGTGAAATCCCGTCTCTATTAAAAATACAAAAACTAGCCGGGCAGGGTGGCGCGCACCCCTAGTCCCACCTATTCGGGAGGCTGAGGCAGGAGAATCGCTTGAACCCAGGAGGTGGAGGTTGAACCCAGCCATTCACACCCAGTCCATCAGCCATTCACACCCAGTTGTGGTGAGCCGAGATCACACCACTGCACCCCAGCCTGGGCAACAAGAGCCAAACTCCATCTCAAAAAATTAAAAATTAAAAAAAAAAGATAAAATGGGAATAATAAGAATATAATCCTGGCTGATTTGTTTCAAGAGTTAGAGATGATGCTCCATAAAACGCGGCATCTATCAGCCATTCACACCCAGTCCATCAGCCATTCACACCCAGTCCATCAGCCATCCACGCCCAGTCCATCAGCCATCCCCGCCCAGTCCATCAGCCAGCCACGCCCAGTCCATCAGCCATCCCCGCCCAGTCCATCGTGGCATCAGCCATTCACACCCAGTCCATCAGCCATTCACACCCAGTCCATCAGCCATCCACACCCAGTCCATCAGCCAGCCACGCCCAGTCCATCAGCCAGCCACGCCCAGTCCATCAGCCATCCCCGCCCAGTCCATCGCGGCATCTATCAGCCATTCACACCCAGTCCATCAGCCATCCACACCCAGTCCATCAGCCATCCCCGCCCAGTCCATCAGCCATCCACGCCCAGTCCATCAGCCATCCCCGCCCAGTCCATCAGCCATCCACGCCCAGTCCATCAGCCATCCACGCCCAGTCCATCAGCCATCCACTCCCAGTCCATCAGCCATCCCCGCCCAGTCCATCAGCCATTCACACCCAGTCCATCAGCCATCCTGCCCAGTCCATCAGTCATCCCCACCCAGTCCATCAGCCATTCACACCCAGTCCATCAGCCATCCTGCCCAGTCCATCAGCCATCCCCACCCAGTCCATCAGCCATCCCCACCCAGAGCATCAACGGTCGCCACCCAGAGCAGGGGATATTTTGGCTTGGCTGGCCAAAAGCAGAAACAGTGTGTTTGTCAGGAGTGGGGTTTGTTTTATGCCTACAGGAGGACAGGACATCTAGGGTACCTCATTCTTGGGAGCTGCCTTTGTCGCCCCAGCATGGGGGACCCTGGAAGCCTTGGCAGGGACAAGGCCGGAGTCTCGGGGGGCAGGTGAAGCGCCGCAGGAACCCTGGGTGTGTAGCCTCAGCTGGGCTGACGTCCTTCAAGAGCAAGCCATCCGCTGGCCTACAGCCAGGCCTTGGGCTGCTTCAGGACACACGGTTTCCTGCTCAGCTGCTTCAGAGCAAGGCCTGCAGACCCTTCACGTTCCCAGCACTCCAGCTTCCTGGCTCCAGCTGACAAAGCTCCAGCGGCGCGGCAGGAAGGGAGGAGAAGAGGGTGTCTCTGGCCCAGCACTTTCCTCTGGGTGGAGGCAGGTGGGAAAGGACAGCCAGGAGCCACTGGTTTCACAGGATCTCACTGAGGGCTTTGGTATCCAGGGAGCAAGAAGCTCCCACCCTGGGGAACGTCCCTCCCTGGCCCTCAGTGTGGGCTGCCACCACCTACCCGGCAGAGGGACACACCCAGGCCGATGGTCTCAGCAGCCAGTGTGTGTGTGAAGGCAGCCTCCTGTCACCCCAGCCTTGGTTTCCTCTCTGGAATGGGAGGGTGGTGAACACAGATAAAACAGTTCCCATGGGCATCAACCCACCTCCCTGGGTTCCAGGAAGTAGCAGCTGGGTTCCAGGTGCCCTGGCAGTCCAGACCAGGGGGACTGGAGGCATCTGTTCCCAACACTGCCCTGCTCATGTTTCACTCCCACTCCTCAACCAGAGGGTGGGAAAGGGTGAAATAACCCCTACCCCCCATGCTTTTCACCATTTCATTTCAGCGCTGAGGGCCCTGGCAAAGCTGGTCCTGGGGGACCCCAAGCTTCTGGCTTTTGCTGCCCCACTCCAGTATACCAACAGTGGGTGGGCAGTCATGTGACCAGGCATGAGACCAGGCCAGAAGAACTGCATGAGCGGGGGAGCCTGAGGCAGATGGACACCTCATCCAGCCCCTAGGGCCAGAACCCTGCCTGCTGGTGGCATTTGAGCTGAGCGTTAAAGAGGAAGGGGAAAAGGGGTATGTTTACATGTGTGTTGGAAGGGAGGAGGGAGCAGAGATCCAGAGGGAAAATAACTGGATCAGGAGGGCCTGGAGCATGAGGGGTTTGGGGGTGTTGACCTCTCCCACCCCAGCCCTAGCAGACAGCGGATAGGGCAGAAGCCCATTCCTATGGCCTTGCTAAAGAGTTTTCTTTTTATTCTGAGAACCAAGAGGAGGCAGCAGTGGGCTCCCTCTAGGGGAACCAGGCAACCCCTTTGCATTTTAGGACCCTATTTCTGAAGTGGACCATGGCGAGCGGCTGAGCAGGTGCCAAGCTGGGGCTGGGGGCCAGTCTGGGGCTTTGGCAGTGATTCCACAAGGAAAAGTGGAGG